AGACATAGCCCCACTCCACAAAGGGGCAGTAAAGCAACAGCAAAGAACTACAGACCAATAGCACTAACATCCCTATCATAAAATCTTTGAAAGGGTCCTAAGAAGCAAGATCACCACGCATCTAAAAAACCCATCAGTTACACAACCCAGGGCAACATGGGTTTAGAACGGGTCGCTCCTGTCTGTCTCAACTATTGGACCACTACGACAAGGTCCTAAATGCACTAGAAGACAAAAGAATGCAGATGTAATATATACAGACTTTGCAAAAGCCTTCGACAAGTGTGACCATGGCGTAATAGCGCACAAAATACGTGCTAAAGGATATAACAGGAAAAAGTCGGTCGATGGATCTATAATTTCCTCACTAACAGAACACAGAGAGTAGTCGTCAACAGAGTAAAGTCCGAGGCAGCTACGGTGAAAAGCTCTGTTCCACAAGGCACAGTACTCGCTCCCATCTTGTTCCTCAATCTTATATCCTACATAGACAAGGATGTCAGCCACAGCACCGTGTCTTCCTTTGCAGATGACACCCGAATCTGCATGACAGTGTCTTCCATTGCAGACACTGCAAAGCTCCAGGCAGACATCAACCAAATCTTTCAGTGGGCTGCAGAAAACAATATGAAGTTCAACGATGAGAAATTTCAATTACTCAGATATGGTAAACATGAGGAAATTAAATCTTCATCAGAGTACAAAACAAATTCTGGCCACAAAATAGAGCGAAACACCAACGTCAAAGACCTGGGAGTGATCATGTCGGAGGATCTCACCTTCAAGGACCATAACATTGTATCAATCGCATCTGCTAGAAAAATGACAGGATGGATAATGAGAACCTTCAAAACTAGGGAGGCCAAGCCCATGATGACACTCTTCAGGTCACTTGTTCTATCTAGGCTGGAATATTGCTGCACACTAACAGCACCTTTCAAGGCAGGTGAAATTGCCGACCTAGAAAATGTACAGAGAACTTTCACGGCGCGCATAACGGAGATAAAACACCTCAATTATTGGGAGCGCTTGAGGTTCCTAAACCTGTATTCCCTGGAACGCAGGAGGGAGAGATACATGATTATATACACCTGGAAAATCCTAGAGGGACTAGTACCGAACTTGCACACGAAAATCACTCATTACGAAAGCAAAAGACTTGGCAGACGATGCACCATCCCCCCAATGAAAAGCAGGGGTGTCACTAGCACGTTAAGAGACCATACAATAAGTGTCAGGGGCCCGAGACTGTTCAACTGCCTCCCAGCACACATAAGGGGGATTACCAACAGACCCCTGGCAGTCTTCAAGCTGGCACTGGACAAGCACCTAAAGTCAGTTCCGGATCAGCCGGGCTGTGGCTCGTATGTTGGTTTGCGTGCAGCCAGCAGCAACAGCCTGGTTGATCAGGCTCTGATCCACCAGGAGGCCTGGTCTCAGACCGGGCCGCGGGGGCGTTGACCCCCGGAACTCTCTCCAGGTAAACTCCAGGTATTGCTTTACTGCCCCCTTTGTGGAGTGGGGTTATGTCTGTTGTTTTTAGTAACTGTGGGACGACCCCCATGTCCTTGCTCCCTCTCCATAGGATGGTAAAAGCTCGTGATAGGGACTTCTTGCAGTTCTTGATGAATACAGAGTTCCATGAGTCTGGCCCTGGGGCAGAGTGCATGGTCACTCTGCATGGGTAATAGTAACAGAGTAAAGTCTGAGGCAGCTACAGTGAAAAGCTTTGTTCCACAAGGCACAGTACTCGCTCCGATTCTATTCCTCATTCTCATATATGACATAGACAGAGATGTGAGCCATAGCTCCGTGTCTTCCTTTGCGGATGACACCCGAATTGCCATGACAGTAATCTCCATCGAAGACACTGCAAGTCTCCAAGCAGGCATCAACCAAATCTTTAAATGGGCGACTTAAAACAATATGAAGTTCAATGAAGAGAAACTTTGACTACTCAGGTATGGAAAACTTGATGAAATTAAAACTGTATCAGGGTATACAACAAATTCTAACCATACAATAGAACAAAAAAGTAATGTGAAGGACCTGAGAGTGATAATGTCAGAGGATCTTGCCTTCAAGAACAAAACAATGTATCTACCACATCTGCTAGGAAAATGATGGGATGGATAATGAGAACCTTCAAAACTAGGGATGCCAAGCCCATGATGATTCTCTTTAAATTGTTTGTTCTCTCTAGGCTGGAATACTGCTGTACACTAGCTGCCCCCTTCAGGCAGGCGAAATTGCTGACCTGGAGAGTGTACGTAGAACTTTCATGGCACACACAAGTACGGTAAGGCACCTAAATTATTGGGAATGGTTGAAGTCCCTTGATTTGTATTCCCTCGAATGCAGCAAGAGAGATACATGATAATATACACTTGGAAAATCCTAGAGGGATTAGTATCAAACTTACACACGAAAATCACTCCCTATGAATGCAAAAGACTCGGCAGGAGATGCAACATTCCCCAATGAAAAGCAGGGGTGCCATGAGTACACTGAGAGACAACACACTAAGTGTCCAGGGCCCAAGACTGCTCAACCGCCTTCCAGCATACATAAAGGGGATTACCAGTAGACCCCTGGCTGTCTTCAAGAAGGCACTGGACAGGCACCTAAAGTCAGTACCTGACCAGCTAGGCTGTGGCTCGTACATCAGATGGTCTCAGACTGAGCAGCGGGGGCATTGACTCCCAAAACCCTCTTCAAGTATACTCTCCAGCGCTGGTAGAGAAGACGGTCCAGGTATACACCTGTCCAGCTCCCTCTTGAAGACAGGTAGGGTAAGAAGTATCCCTGTTTGCAGATGATGCAAAACTAATGAGGAGAATACAAGTAGACATGGACCAGGAAAGCCTACAAATGGATCTGGACAGGCTGCAAGCCTAGTCTGACAAGTGGCTACTGGAGTTTAACCCAAGCAAGTGCAAAGTTAGGAAATTTGAGAAAGGGCAAAGAAGACCACAGATGAAGTACAGGCTCAGGAGCAAAGCTGCAAACCTCACTCAAGGAGAAGGACCTTGGGGTGAGTATTACACCAAGCATATTACTGGCAGCAAACATCAATTAAATAACTGCTGCAGCGAATGTGTGTCTGGCAAGTTGAAGACTAGCTTTTAGATATCTAAGTAAGGAGTCATTCATGACTATATACTGTACATGTCAGGCCCATGGAGGATGCAGCACCAGTATGGAACCACTGTGTCAACCACATCTGGTAAACATGTAAGAAGCTGGATAGAATGAAAAAGTTTGCAATGAAATTCATCCCAGAGCTGGATAAATAAACTATGAGGAAGCTAGAGGAGCTAAATCTGATGACACTAGAGGACATAAGGACCAGAGATGACATGATTACCATGTACAAAATGAGAGGAATTGACAAGGTAGACAGAGAAAGCCTGTCTGAGAGGCAAGTCTCAAGTACATGAGGCCACAGCTGGACATTAAAGGGCGAGGAACGTTTCTGTTGATTTTTTTCCTTTGGTCTAATTTCAGTGAAATTTTTACTGTGAATTAAGCAGCATTTGAAACTTACACACTGTGCTTTTAGTGACTTTTTTCCTTAAAGTTAGAAAAAATAAATAGTACCCTATTCTATAGGGCTTAAAACTTTTCCCCTACTACAAAATTGGTAAGACATACAATGTTCTAGTCAATATGAGATGAAAGATAAAGGACTAAATAATACAATTACATTATAACTTCTTGAAAATTTCACTAGATTGCATGAAATAAAATGTTGAAGTTAGTGTTTTTTTTTTGGGGGGGGGAATCAATAAAAACAAAACGGTAAGGAATATCGCAATTCCTTTGTGTATTTCTGCAGAACCATCATTTCAATAACCTGTCCAAAAATCATGACACTCTGTCCATTAGTTATCGATAATTGTGGCTACAAATGTCAATAACTTATTCCTGAGATAAACATTTTTTTTTTTTTAATGTGTGAAACTCTATGGTCGTCGCACGCCATCTCTCAGCGACTGGCACACCTAGAGAGAAGATTTCGTTCGGATTTTTAACCCCGGAGGGTTAGCCACCCAGGATAACCCAAGAAAGTCAGTGCGTCATCGAGGACTGTCTAACTTATTTCCATTGGGGTCCTTAATCTTGTCCCCCAGGATGCGACCCACACCAGTCGACTAACACCCAGGTACCTATTTGCTGCTAGGTGAACAGGACAATAGGTGTAAGGAAACGTGTCGGAATTTCCACCCGCCGGGAATCGAACCCGGGCCCTCCGTGTGTGAAGCGGGAGCTTTAGCCACCAGACCACCGGGCCACCTCACCTCATTGGCGACCCTCAGGCCACTGGGGTATTAGTGGTGTGTGTGGTGATCTGTGGTCGACTCAGAAGGTGCCAATTAGTGTATATGGATAGAAACAGTCATAAAAATTGTAATTTTTGGAGTAAAAAAAAATAGAATTGGCATCATGTCCGCTTGATGACAGCAGGAACAAAAAAATTACATTTTTGGAAAAATGTACTTAGAAATATGATAGAAACAAGCTGATTGCATCAACATATTGCCAGAATTATGCACTATTTTTTGGTAAGAAAACATGTTTTTCCCTAATTTTTCAATTTCAATTTTTTTTTATCACTCATGTTTCATTCCTCAGCCCCTTAAAAGCTCAGGTGATCCATAGGGACATTAGGAAATATTTATTTAGTCTTATAGTGGTCAGAATGACCTAGACAGCAAAGTGGTAGAGGCAATATTCATACATGGCTTCATTACGCAATACACAATACACAAATAACCCGCACATAAAAGAGAGAAGCTTACGACGACGTTTCGGTCCGACTTGGATGGATACGAGTAGCAGCCAGCAGAGAGGCAGGACCAGGAACTGAGACTTGAGCTGAGTACAATTAGGTGCGGTAAGTACACACACAAATCCGAAATCTTATCACACACACGATCATTATCTCTGCAAAATAAAATAAAATGCTTACTGTTCATGGAAAAAACTATTGACACCAGGGACCTCCTGGTGAGTCTGTGGCAGGACCCCCTGGACCTCCAGGACCCCCAGGACCCCCAGGTGTCTCTGGTTCCTCCCTCTCCAAGGTCTCCAGCCTCTCCCTGCCTGACCTGGGATCAGGAGCCAGTGAGGACTTCATTGTAAGTATCTTTATGAATTTTCTCATATACGTATACTACAAATTGTTTTTCATTATTGCTCTTCAGTGTTGTCTTAATTTGCCATTTATGTAGCACAGTGGGTTTAATGTAATGCACATATACCTTGATCACTCAGGTTTAAACACTGATCAGGTTTTTAATGAGGTGAGTGATTAAATAGCTTTAAAAAATTATATTTGTATGTATATAATATTTTGTAAATAAATAATCAGAATTTGATTCAAAAAAGAGGATACTCATTCAACATCACTCATACAGTACCAGATTTGCCAGAAGTGTGTAGAAATGACAATTCAAATGACATTTCTCAGAGATGACAACAGACATTGTTGAGGGTAAAATCCAGCATCAGAATACTTTTCACAGCATTATAGATTGAAATGAATTTTATTTATATTGCACTGAGAAAAGTGGGCAGATATAATATAAATTAATAGTTTTTATTTTATGCCTGTCAGTTGTATATTTTTACCCTGCAAGAGGGTTAAAGTTTAGATACTGTTAGATATTGTAAATCTAGTATTGTGTATTCCAGGGACACATTTTTCAGTGGAAGATGTATCCCTGGAATACTCAGTACACTGTATTGTGCTTTTCTCACAAAAGATTTAAATTCAATGAGACAAATAACCAATGCAGAATGCTATATACATACTACAGTACAGTTATTAAAAAGAGGTACGTGTTCAAATTTTGAAGGGAAGAATTTGTTATAAGTTAAGCATTGTTTATTTTGTTACTTCTTTTTGCACATTGCTGATTATTAGAGTTTTATCCATTATTACTAATTATTATTTGCAAAACTGTATGACTGAATTTTAACTGTTATGCTAGTATTCGGTTGATATAAGTTTAATAATATTATATGGTTGAGGTTTATGGGAATCATGACACTCTCAAATTCTCAAAATTCAGATTTGCTTGTTTTGCAACTGTTTCATCTTGATACATGCATATAATAGTACACATAGCCCTCTTGGAGCACATGTTGAGTTTAATGAGGAACTGGATTCTCTTTCAACTAAAAAAATATCCCTCTGAAGAATTTTCTGTTTTTAAAATGATGCCATTCACTTAACCCTTAAACTGTCCAAACATAAATCTACGTTTACGTGCGTAGCGCTCCGACCTTGATTTTCTCCATTTGAAAGCATGCAAAAAAAAGTTGATCTACATTCGGAGCACTACGCAAGCAATATAGCTCTATGTTTGGACAGTTTAAGAGTTAAAATAAAGTTTATAATTTTTGCATCTGTGTATGTACCAGCCTGAGCCAGAGTTCAGTGGTGGGCGGAGAGGTCCTCCTGGTCCCCGTGGTGAGTGTCTCTGCAATGAAACACGTCTGGTGGCTTCTGTTATAGCACAGGTGAGCTGTTCCTGCTACCTACTAATGGTAAAACACAGCATGTACCAAACTGTTGTTGTGTATTAACAGACATATTTACAACTGGATCAGTATTCAGGCTTGGAAAAGCAACTCCCATTTAATCACCATCTGGCATTTAACCATTAGATACCACGAGGGCTACCGGGACCTGAAGGAAAAGCAGGCCGAGATGGCTTGCCAGGGATCCCAGGAACACCAGGACGACCTGGACCACCAGGAGAGCGCGGTGTCCACGGGGAAAAAGGAGACAAGGGTGACCGAGGGCATCCTGGTAGTCGTGGTGGGTGTTATTACTTGAGTAATGCTGATAGTACTGTGTAAAACTCATGCAAATGTGATTTGTATTGATTGAATCCCATTTAATTTTACATGTATGAAAAATAAATATTAAATAATATTGTAAAGCTAAAATCTTTAGGTAACCTATTGAATAATGTACAAGGCTAGTTGACACTCAGTTTAAAATCCTACAGCATATTCATTCAGAAAAAGATATTTCCAAACAGTTGGCTAAGATCCTTTCTTTCCAGTAACACTTAGCAATAAATCTTGCTCATCCTGTGTTGCAGGTTTTGAGGGGGTGCAGGGAACCAAGGGCGAGTCTGGACTTGACGGAGCCCCAGGAGTGCCAGGGGAGAGGGGACCACAGGGTCCTCCAGGACAACCTGGTTGGGGCAACTCTGGCTATGATGTAAGAACTCATCATAATATGTTGTGATTTTTGGCAAATGGGTTGTTTTTGTCAAATTGCTGAATTCTCATTAAAGACAACATTAATGTTGCTGTATATGTCTGTCACCAAATATACGTGTGCTATGCTGGATTCTAGATTTCATGCATGTAGTACTGCTGTCCAACCTTCCACTGATGCACCAGACCCATCCATAATTTAGTGTAGATCAAAACACTGTACATTTCATCTCAAATTCCCAAGATGTGGGAATTTGAGATGAAGTGTACAGTGATGAAGGGTACGTATATTTGAGTGCATGCAAACTCCCTCACAAGTATTTTATTCTGATGGGGTGACTAATCAGAAGAGAAACATCATCTCCATAATGTATATACAGTATTTATATATATGTATATATATATCACTGTTTTCACTCATGGATCAAGTTGCTGAGCAATACACACCCCTTAGTGATAACTCACTTTGTTTTCCAATATATTCCCACAACTTATGATGTACACCATGATTCCTTCTTTCCTGATGCAGCCAATGTGGAAGCCTCGGTCGATGTTCAAGGTAAAACAAAGACATTACCACTGTGAAGTTTTTGATACCTATGTGACAATCACATTTGCCTGTAAAAAAATTACACCACTGTGAAGTTTTTGATACCTATGTGACAATCACATTTGCCTGTAAAAAAATTATATGCAAGATATTACAATACTTGAATATCTCTACTGTTTCAGTGCTATTTAAATTATGCATTTCCTATGTAAAGTAGATCTTATTTTGTAATATTTTTATTATCTTTGATATTACAGTACATGTTATCCTTAACAGGGGGATACATTAATTCTAAATTTGCTATATTATTTATCTTTTTTCCCTCAGCTTCATTACCAGACGATACCTTGAGAATTCTTATTATCATTGATTTGAAACTTCAGTCTTTCTGGTACATAGGTCCATCAAACAAAGTGTTTTAAAACCCTACAGTGTAGCCCATGACTGCTGTGTTGCAAACCAATTGTTTATGTATTGGGGATGGAGAGACTTTAATCTCAGTACTCTGGAGCAACTACAAATATACAAGACTATATAAACCTTACTGCACAAACTTCTTTAATAATAGAAAATATATTTATATATGATTCCATCATAACATCAGTTAGGTTACACTGATCATCCATAGTATGCCAAAATACATAGCTAGATATGTTTCAGTCACTACATGATTCAAGGGAGGTATCCCGTGTCCCATACCCCAAGCTTTCTGGATCTCAACGTACACAAGAGGCCCAAAAACTGTACTTCAAAAAACCCAAGAGGCAGAGGAGCTGCAATTGAAATTTTTCAAGGCCCCTAGGAGTTATAATTCAGTCCTCCCAAATATGCCTAGAAGACCCAAGAAAGTTAGTAAGTAAATAAGTAAGTTTATTCAGGTATACACAAATACAGTTACATAGAATTATCATACATAGCAGCATATGTGTAGAGAACCTAGGATAACCCAAAAAAGTAAGACAGAGTAGAGTAGACACTCAAGAAGTCTGTCACCTATACCCTAATACCTTCACGAAGACCTTTGAACTGTAGATCAGCACCCTCAAGACACATCGGAACTGTACAGTAGCACTATCAACGGGTTCAGGACCTGCAACTCAAACCAGTCCAACACAAGTAAAATATAAGAGCAGTGGGGATATCAGAAACCAGTTGACTGATCATTATTATCATTTCTTCTACTTCTTTTGTAAATCATGGCAGTTGCTCTATGAGAGAAGATGTGATAGAGCATAGACTTAAAAAAATGATAATAAATAGCTTGAATGAGTTTTACATCAAGAGCTGTAAGATCAATATTAATACTGTATCTCCTAAGTAACTAAAGGAGTTGCATAAAAAATATGACTGTGGAAAATTAAATTTTTAGCTTAATTCCACAATTCTTGAGCCCTAAAAAGGATTAGTATAATACTCCTAATGTGCAAATTGATACTTACTTAGCCCAGTGAAAATCCAAATCTTTCTTTATGTAAAATATGTCAGCATTGAAAGTTTGAAGTCAATATAAAGAGGCATTCTCAAGTTATCTTTAGGAATTTAATATTCCTGTTTGTACGGTAAAATTGGCAAATTGTTGCCTTTACAGCCCAAAACCAATTGGAATCTTCCACTATATATGAAGCCAGTCAGAAGAGGCATTCCCAAGTTATTGCTTCAAAATCAATAACTCAATATGTTTAATAAAATTAGCACAATGCTGCGTACATAGCCCAAAAAGCAGCGTAAACTTTAATCCGGCATTGAGTTTGAGGCTGATCAGAAGAGGCATTCTCCAGTTACTGCATGGAATCTCTGGTAATTCTCACTCTCTTACTTATGTCATTGAAGTGGTAAATTTGCACCTACACAGCCTGAAACTGTGGAACCTTTTTTTTTTGGTTAGGTGCATCAGTGAGTCAGATTTGAAGCTGTTCAGAAAAGGCATTCACAATTATAGCACAGAAAAAATAGGCCCAAATGTTTTAAATAAAATTGGGACTTACACAGTCTGTACCTGAAAGGAGTCAGATAGCATTGAAAACCTTTCTCTGCATAGGACTTACAGGCATTAATAAGTAGAGGCATTCTCAATTGCACATTATTTTTGCTTATAAAATTGGCAAATTAACCCCTGGCTGTATTTAAGAAGGCACTGGACAGGCGCCTAAAGTCAGTACCTGACCAACTGCATGCAGCCAGCAGTAACAGCCTGGTTGATCAGACCCTGATCCACCACGAGGCCTGGTCTCAGACCGAGTTGCGGGGGCATTGACCCCCAAAACCCTCTCCAGGTAAACTCCAGGTACACAGCCCAATTAGAATCTAAACCTTGTTCCATGTAAGATGTACCAGCATTGATAGTTTGGAGTCTATCAGAAGAGGCATTCTCAAGGTATCGCATGAAAATCTTAGAGGAAGAAAAGTACTTCATTAATCACTGTAGAGTAATCCCCTGCATTATTAAATTTTTCCTTATTAATTTAGTGAATTAAATCACCAAAAGTATTTCAGAAATATTTTTCCATATTACTGAAATAAGGATTTGGGTTGGCATCAAAATGCTGAAAAAAAAGACATACACTTTCTTTTTACCTAGTCATTCCTGTTTGCATCTTTTCTTTCTTTCCCCAAGGCATATGCTGCAGCATATGTTATTTCTCATAGAACATGATTGCTCTGCCCTTGTGGGTTTAGATAGATTAGGATTATAAGTTCTTCCTCTTTCTAGTAAGTACTAGGTTTAGTGATTTGTAATTATTTGTGACGGCAATAGCAGGACTAAGCTTGTTGATGTCCCGTCTTCAGTATCTAGTTTATAAAGCTTAGGAAGCACCAAACTCACAGGGGTTATACAAGATCTAGTTAACCCTTTGACTGTTTCGGTTGTATATATACGTCTTACGAGCCAACATTTTTGATGTATTAATACGTGTAAATTCTGGCGGCTTCAAATCAATCGGGAGAAAGCTGGTAGGCCTACATGTGAGAGAATGGGTCTGCGTGTTGGGTGTGCGCAGTATGAAAAAAATTGGGGACTCAGTGCCTTGCGGTAAGAAGTACCTTACTCCTCACCAAATTGGAGGTCTTCTGTTCTCAAGTGATAGTTCTAACAGCAATGGAAGTGCCAGTGAAAGTGAATTCCATGGTTTCAGGAGGGTGTAACCAAAAGCAGTGCCCAGGATAATGTAATTCGTGATGAAAACCTAGATGACCCACAGCCTTCCACGTCTGGTGCTGGGCTGTCTCATTCACATGCACCTGTACCAGGACGAAAGAGGAAACTGTTTCCCCATGTACAGGACTCGGACATGAGTAATGAAAGTGATATGATTTCGAAGCTATTGAAAGCAGTTCAAGTTGTGATATTGAGGGGGAATATTCTCCAGTAAAGTGATAGTATGTGCGATACAGCATGCAATCTGGTAGTGTGTCATATGCCATTCCAAGGAAAGGAGTACATCCCATGGCCCTACACCACGAACTGATAGTGAAGATGATGATATTGTTTCAATGGAGATGCGTAATTTGCGTGGGGCAGCAGGTGGTGGTGGTGTTGGCAGTGGCATGAGTCATGTTGCACCAGCAGTGGGCCACACTGCTACCCATGATGCTAACTCAGCACAGCCACAACCAGCCTCAACCACCCCCACACTCCCACAACCTGCACAACCACCTATCAATATCCAGTACCCACCAGCAGACCGCATCTGGGATTGGCAGGAAGGTGCCAATTTTGTTCCGAATCCCCATGACTTTGATGAAACACAAAGTGGAATACAGCCATCGTGTACACTTGGGAATAATGCCACTGAACTAGAATTCTTTCAGTTATTCTTCGATGAACCCCTTATGGAAATTATTGTCAGAGAAGGCAACACATACTACGAGTACACCATGGCAAACACGGTTCTTTCACCAAGGTCATGGCAACACCAGTGGAAGGACACAACTGTGGCAGAGATGTACCTGTTCTTTGCCACAGTAATGCTTACGTCACATGTGTATAAGCACACTGTCACCACGTACTGGATGACAGACCAGTGAATCGATTTCCGAGACTGTTCAACTGCCTCCCAGCATACATAAGGGGGATTACCAATAGACCCCTGGCTGTCTTCAAGCAGGCACTGGACAAGCACCTAAAGTCGGTACCTGACCAGCTGGGCTGTGGCTCGTACGTTGGATTGCATGCAGCCAGCAGTAACAGCCTGGTTGATCAGGCTCTGATCCACCATGAGGCCTGGTCACAGACCAGGCTGTGGGGGCATTGACCCCCAGAACTCTCTCCAGGTAAACTCCAGGTAATACTACACTTCGCAGAGAAAACAAGGCCTGACAGAAATGACAGGTTATATGAAATCAGAAATGTGTTTCTGTACCTGAAACAAAAGTGCTGTAAGTATTTTTATCCCTTCAGGAAGCTTGTTATTGATGAGTCTTTGATTTTGTTCAAAAGTAGACTGTTGTTC